GGCGTCGCCGGCGGGTCAGCGGGCGGGACCGCCCGGGCCCCGCTGCCCGGCACCAGGGGGCGCTGCGTGGCCGCGGGGCTGAGCGCGGACTGGGGCCGCTGTCGCAAAGCTGGGGGTCAGCTCTTCTCCGTTCTGGGGGCCAATGGGACAAGCCGGAAGAGGGGGCAAGTTCAGTGATCGTCTTTGTCGCTCCCTCCAGGCCCCGGTCCCCTAAGCAGAGGGAGAAAACTCTAGAAAGCTCAGCGCGATGTTTTCTCCTAAATATGCTTCGGGGTGTCCAGAGAAGCAGGCCATTCCCATACTCTGAGCCATCCACGCAGCCAACTCCCTCCGCACCTCGCGGTCCTCTGGGCCATCCCCGCCCGCATCCTGAATGGAAGGGAACCGGGATGGGCTGGAAAGAGCACGAGGTTTGAGTTGGAAGGCTGAAGTCTCCTTCCAGCACTACCTCTCATTGCCAGGTGACCTGGGAAAAGTCCATACATCTCTTCATTCCTTCCACACTGACTGAGCACCTTTTATATGCCAAGCATTGGTGATAAAACAGTCTCTGCCCAAGGAAGCTAACCATCTAATTATTTTTAACCTATCAGAAGATGAAAATCTCTCTTGCATCTTACTATGAGGTTGAAATTAGTGTATGAAAATATTTGTTAGCAACAAGTTCCCCCAAACTTAATCCTCAAATTTATGCCAGTAAACCACTTTTGGGGGCTTCCACAATCCCAGCTCAGAAGATGGGGCTGAGTTAGAGAGGAGCTTTGAGTTTGACTGGATAGTCCCAGCAGCAGCCCTAGGACTAAGGAGGCAACTGAGATGCCAGGTTGCCTCCACTTTTGCTTCTCTTTGTGCCCCTGTCTTTAAGGAACACCAATAGTCTAGGTCAGCCTCCTCTGATATGCGGAGTAGTGGGAGGGAAACCCTGGCTGTGGGAAGGGACAGCAGGACCCCAAGTCCTCAAGAGTTCCCTTCCCCTTGGAAATTTGCCACAAGTGGCTTTTGTCACTTTTACTCTGGCTTCTGGGGCCCTGCACCTGCTAGCACTTTGGTTAAGACTGGGTCCGCAAAGACCCTCTCAGGCCATGATGCAGCATCCAAAAAAAGCCAGCTGAGGCTATGGCCTGACACAAGCACCTCGGAAGTCTGGATTTAGCAACAGATTGGCTCTGGGCCCAAGCCTGTCCTGTGTCATGGCACCCCCTGCAGGGCAGAGCCAAAGCCCTGTCAGGCATGGCCAGCCTGTCTGTCTCCAGTGATCCCTCCTTCTGGCTCAGGCTGGAGGTCAAGCAGGCCCTGGGGGTTAGCAGACAGGTATACACCTCTTGGCTTGTCAGAGGATTGTTGTTCCTTTCTCACAGTGACAGAGGTCTGGGCCAGGCCCATCCTACTAGGCCTGACTGTTTAGTTTCACCCACATCAGTGACTCCCTTCGCTCGGTGCTTCCTCTTCTATCTCTCTGGTAAAAGAGATCTAAAAGGTTCTGGGATCTCCTGCGCATTCGCAGTAGGCCCCTGGGGATGGTCCAGCTGCTATCATTTAAGGAGCTTCACTTCCTTGGCTCTCTGTGGGCCTCAGAGTATGCTCCTACAGTCAGGACCTTTTTTGAGCAAACAGACTTCTCCTATTTTTCTAGAATTCTCTTCTAAAGCCAGGTCCTACCACACCTCAGCATTTCTAAGGGGTCTGACTTTTGACTCTGACCCCATGGGTCTCCCCTCTGTGCAGCCCTTTTGCTCCACAGAAGTGCTCCCACTGCAGATCTCTTCAGCCCTGAGCCAGTCACTTCCTGCCCCCACAAACTACACCTTTCTCTCTCCTTGGAATTGGGAGAGAGTCCCGATCATCCCACCTGTCCGTTGGAGCCCTGGCCCCTCCCCTCCCAGGGGTACTAGGGCTGAGGGCTGAATACCTGGAACACTGGCCCCCCGGGTGTCTTCCTCCCTCCTTGGCAGCTAGAAATGGGTAGGGAGCCAGGTTTTCCCACCATCGATGCACCTCTCTGCCAGGACATGACTAAATCCCTGCAGTCCCTGCTTTTGTGGGCAGGGGACCAAGTAGCCCTCCCGCCTTGGCTCTGGATTCAGTTAGCATGACCAGCAAAGCAGCTGTCTTCTCTTCTCTCCCTCTCCTGAGGTGGACTGTATTGTGGGATTCAGCTACTCCTTCCTATCCTTTTGCCAGAGAGCTGGTGGGACACATGTCCTTCTTGCACGTCAGCCAAGGACATGAGGACATACTTATCTCTCAGGTTTGCAAGAGGTGTAGCCCCTCACAGATTGTGGATTACATATTTTATTAATTAATTTTAACACCCCTCCCCCAAGCATACATGGAAAATCTCTCTCTTTGCTCAAGGAACTATTCTATTAATGGTGAACTTGAGGCAACCTATCACCCATTCTCCTTTAAAAAACATTGCTTTAACATCCTATTTGCTGGAGCAATCTGTGAATTGTATGTAAGAATGGAGGGTAAGACAGCTGGAGATTTCCTGCACTGAGTCAAAAATACTTACCCTGATCACTTTCCTGATCCACTCAATTCTTCTGAGCTGTGTCCGACTGAGGCAGAGGAAAGGAAGACACACTCTTCTGTCATCTCCTCTACTCTCAATCCCCTACCAGCCCTACTTTCCTTCTGATGAAGTGCACTTAGACCTGTGGGTTTTCCACACAGCCAGCAATTCCGCAACACCAGCTGAGCGTCCTTCAATTTAAGTCAAGCCTGACACTATCTGCCTGGAGATAGCATCAGAGCCCACAGATTAAGGGCTCAGTCCCACAAGACTGCGCCCACTTCAGACGCCGATTGCAAGTTCAGTGTTACCTGTGCTTCCATGGCTGTAGATCAGAGATTCCTATGACCCTCTTGTTGGGTTCAGTTACTTCACTAGAGTGGATCATGGAACTCAGGAACACAGTTTACTACTACATTTCTTGTTTATTAAAAAAGATGTAACAAATCTGAAAGAAGAACATATATATCTCTCTCAATCACTTTGCTGTATACCCAAAACTAACACATTATAATCAACCATACTTCAATAAAAATGAGTAAATAAATAAGACATGACAAAAACCAAACATACATTTCTTATTATAAATCATCATATCACCATAAACCATGACTCTATCTGGGAAAAAACGGAAAGTTAAAAGCCTGGAGTAAGAACAATAAGGAGCAACACGTATTGAGTGATCACACATGCCAGGTGTGGCTAAGGTGTTATTTCTTTCAAGTCTCATCAGAATCTACAAGGTAGGTCCTATTATTCCCAGTTCCACAGTTGAGAAAACTGAGGACCAGAGACAGGGTGCCTGGGGTCACCCAGATGGTAAATGGTGGAACTAGGCTCAAACCTAGACAAGCCGGGTTTAGAGACCATGTCTGGGAAGGTTTTTCATCCCTTTGGAATTAGCAGCTTCATAAAGCAATTCATTTAGCATAATAAATTTGAATGATCCCTGGCTCCTAAAACACACCCTCCCCTTGTTTCAGATAATGGTGCCCACTAACACTAGGAGTTGATTGCAGTAACTGGAATGAGGAGTGAGAAGGAACAGATCATAAGGAAATGAGAAATGACTGTCTGAAGGAACAACAGGGAAAGATTAATTTGGAAAAGGTCCAAAAAAGGAAGCCACCATGTGTGCATCATGTGCAAATCACGTGCAACTCAGCAAGGTAGAGGTGATGCTCTCTCATCACCTCTCATGAGCTGGTACCTCTATGGTATGACGTCTGCGGCCCCTCCGTCAGGGGATTTTGGAGGAAAGGGGGTGGTTGTTGCAGATGTGGGGGAGGAACTGGCTGAGGTGGGTGGTTTACTGCCCAGGAGTGTCCCACTGGGAGGGAAGGAGACAGATGTTGTTGGCAACAATAAGCAAGGAATGTGAACAGGCACACGTGTTCCTGGGAAGTTGGCCAAGACCCCTCGGCCAACTTTTGTCAGGGTTCCTATTTTGAGGGGATCAAGGTTGAACTTGTGACTTGCAGGACTCCTCCTCCTCTGAACCCCAGGGTGCCCTGGCCTTTTCCAAGAGCATCACTTCTTCCTTTGTGGAGAATCTTCCATGAGCTGGCACTGTGTTGGTTCCCCTGGGCCTTCAAAGATGAAGCCTGCTCTCAGATTTGTGGGAGGTAGGAGGACAAAGTCTCACCAGCAAGGAGTCTCTAGGGTCGGACTGCCTGTCTTGGGCCTCAGGCTCCACAACTTGCTGCTGTGTCACTGTGGCAGGTTACCTAACTTTCCTGTGTTCCAGTCTTCTCATCTGTGAAGTGATATTTACCTCAAGAAGCAGAGGAGACGTTTATCATTAGAACGGATGTAAGAGCACTTAGCCAACTACCTAGCTAATGGCAAGTACTCAATAAATGTTTCTGTTATAAGCATGAAGTAGAAGGGACAGAAGTGAGGTAAGGGGTCCTGGGAGCACAGAGGAGGGAGCACCTAACTCTTCCTGGAACAAGAGCTGCTTGTTGATGACCTCAAAAGGTGTTATTCAAACCTGGGGCTTTGGTCTGGGTGGGAGGAAGTCAGATAATGGGCAGCTTGAAGATGTTGCCCAGGTGATTCTGATAACTCTCTGCCCCTTAGCTGCTCTTTAAAAGTAACTTTTTATTGTTAAAAATTACATTTCATTAACCTTGCAAAGAAGAGAAAAAAATCACCCATAATCCCAATACCCAAATACACCCATCATTAGAGTATGGTGCCCCCATCTATTTCCTCATGCATCTTGTTTTTGTTGTTTTAATAGTTTTAATCATAGTGCATGTGATAGTTCCTGTTTTGGATTTTTGCCTTACTATGCAATCATAAGCATTTTTACTACATTGTTTTCCTAATGGAATTTTATTTTTAACTTTTTTTCCCTAAACATAAGTGGTTTATGTTCTCTTAAACTCCCAGACAATCTGAATTGGTATAAAAAAGAAAATGCAAATTTCAAGTAGTTGTATTACTCAGAGGTAATCACTGAGCATTTTTATGTGTTCTAGATTTTTTTTTCTATGCAAATAAACACTTAAGACTTTTTAAGTTTAAAAAGTTATATTAGGTTATTTTATAACCTGCTTTTCATTAAATTATAAATGTGCCATAGGTGGGTTTCCAGGTCAATAAGTATACTCATTCTAATGACTGCATACATTTAATTTTATGTCCCTATCAAATTTATGTAACTAATCATCTTTGCTGAATATTTAAGTTGTTTTCCCTGTGTGTGTGTATATATTTCTTCACCATGTGGATTAATTTACTTATACATTTAGCGATTTTTGTATATTTAAGTAGATTTTCTTCTTTTGTTTTTGCTATAATAAATAACAGTGCATTGAAAAATCTGGAGGAATATGGCTTTTCCCATATTTTGAATAATTTCCTGGAGTGGAAGTATTGGGTCAACGGGCAGGGACATTTTATGATTCTTGATTTGTATCACCAAGCTGCTTTTTCAAAGGGCTGTTTGTGTCAGTTCAGATATTTCCAGCAATGTGTTGGTGCCAGTTTCCCGCCTCCCACCCAACTACCTAAAAGTGGTAGATGGAGGGGGGATAGTTTCCCTAACTAGCTAGCAGTAAAGGAGGTGCTCATATGAATTAAAGAGGACAGGATAGAGACAAGAGGAACAAGTGAATATGCAGAATGGAAAGAAAGAGAAAGGAATAACCAGAAACAACTATCTGTCTGTAATTTTTTCCAACTGGGAAAGTAATTCATGCTTCTTGTTAAAAACCCAAAAGTCCTCCTCTGGTGACAGGTTCTGCTAACAGTTTAAGTGTATTATTCCATATTATTACTTTTACTAATATTAACGTATAACTGGTTTTGTTTTAAAAGAACTAGCTTCATGCTATACACACCGTAGTGCAACATTCCTACTGGGGAATATATCTTAGACACCACTGGAATGATTACTTTAAGAGTGCAGATAATTTTTTGGTTAAATATCTAATTAGAATCAAATGAAATGAAATATTACCCGTTTTCCGTGCTAGAGGGCTCCCTGTTCCTTATCAGCAGTCCCTTGGAGGCAGTTCTTATTATAAATTTTCATATCACCATAAACCTTCTGCTGCCTGTTTCCCTTTTCCAGCCAGAGACATCCTCAGGGGGCAGTCTCTTGCGGCTGCTTAGGGGGCCAAACCCAGGCGGCCTGAGGACCGTCCATGCGTTGGGAAACCAGTAGCCAAGGGCAAAGGGCAGTAGCTGCTCACAACCTTCTGGGGGGCTCAGTCGGACCCTCCTTGCTCTCCACTCCTAGAACCTTGGTGCCCAAGATTAACCCAACCATTGTTGCAAAAGTCTCATGTCCGGGCAGAACTAAACCCATCACTTTGGGGCAGGGCTGGCCTGGCTTTCCTGTCTTTATGGCTTTTCTCCGCAGGTCTGGCCACCACTGCTAAAGTGAGGGAGGCTGTTCCAAGCGCCTTGAACGGCTTTTCCTGGAGCCTATTTTGGCTTAGGGCGTCCCATATCTGCCCGGGGGCATAGCCTTCACGTGAGGCCCTCAAACTCCAGACGCCGGGTCTGACTCAGTCTTGCAGCCTCTGTAGAACCCCTTGCCAGCCCCGTGACTCAATTTCTCCATTTGCTCACTCGGGCCAACGGCGTGAGACATCTGTGTGGAATGCGTAGGTGCCTCTGACAGCTTCTCCAGAGTACGTGCTCCCAGTCGAAGCACCATAGACAGGCATTTACACCTCCCAGAACGCTCCTTCTGGACGTGTTCTGCACTAGCCCTGGTATGACGTGTTCTGTGCTAGCCCTGGTATGAGTCCATAGGACCTGGGATGGCAGTGACTTGGCCAGGTGCGCAAGCGGGACTGCTGAGGAGACATCTGCCCCGGGCCCGCCCGCCATGGTTCCCCAAGGGTCCAGACCATGAAGGGGCTGCCAGAAAGACGACCAGTACCCGCATCCGTGCCCACTGCCCGCCGCTGACGCAATCTGAGGCGCCCTTGCTGCATGCGGGAACTGGGGAAACCTCCCCCTCCGTTGCATCACTCCTGCCAGGTTTGCTACAGAGGTGGAGTTGAACCAATCAGCAGGCACTCTGGGCGGGGGGGCAGGCCGCGCAGTTACCCACTCAGAGCGCGGCGCGGTTAACCGGACAGCAATATCCGAATGTGATTGGCCAAAAGGAAATTTGCCCCGCCCCAATAACCGCGGCATCTGGCCGCGGTGGGTGGGGCTTCCCGGCCGGAGGGTTTAAAGAGCGCCTCCGACGAGGCCGCGCAGCTGGAGCGACCAAGCGGTGCCAGGCCAGGTGTGCGCGTCCGTGGGTCCTTCCGTGCAGGTGCCGGAGACCAGCCCTGGAGGCCGCCCGGGCCCGTCCCTGTGCCCGGCACCATGAAGCAGGAGTCCGCAGCCCATAATACCCCGCCCTCCTCACCACCCCCCTTGCAGCCTCCTCAGGACGACAGCGACCCCCAAGCCCTGTGGATTTTCGGGTACGGCTCCCTGGTGTGGAGGCCCGACTTCGCCTACAGCGATAGCCGTGTGGGCTTCGTGAGAGGCTACAGCCGCCGCTTCTGGCAGGGAGACACCTTTCATCGGGGCAGCGACAAGATGGTGAGCATTTGACCATACCCGGGGGAGTGAGGTGGGTGGGGGCAGGATAGTGGGCGTCCAGCCGTTGCCCTGGAATGTCCCGGCCTATGAGGACAGATGGCGACTATGTCCTGATGGGGAAAATGTGTTAACCTGAGTCCAGGGTTTGTGGCTTAAATTTGTGTGCCCAGTGGGTCACTGTGTGATGGCTAATCTGTGATCCTGTGGATGGCTGTGTTGATGAATATTTTTGATTACCAATCTGGACCACTGCCGTGTGTCTATTTCTCCTGCATCCGTGCATCACTCCCCAGGAGGAGTGGGGCTCTCTGAGCCCTGGGACAGAAGAGTTGTTGAGGGTTTCCTCTACTACTGATGGCAAAGCTGATTTCTAACTGGTTTTTTCCAAAATCTTTCTTCCCTCCCTAGCCTGGTCGTGTGGTGACCCTCCTTGAAGATCATGAGGTAAGTGCCTGAGTCAAGAGAGGCACCCAGCTGGAGGGGTGCAGACAGTCAGAGCTCATGGGTCTTTGGCTGCAGGCTAGATTAGATGCCCCACTGGTTGAGAAGGGTGGTCTAGCTAAATGCTTCTCACAAAAATTACTTGAGGATATTGCTAATGAGATTTTAATTTAAGAGAATTTAGAGTGGGTCCTGAAACTCAATCCTTACACGCTTACAGGTGATGCCATTGGCTCTCAGACCATTTTCTGAGAAGGATTTCTGTTCTCCCTGGACTAGACCATTGTATTAACCCCTGTTAAGAAAGGGAGAATGAGAACTTGGTGTATTGCTACTGGAGAGCTCAATAGCCTTCTGTTCACCCCCTTTATAGAACACAGTCGTGCAGTGGGACAAGAAGGAGCTGTGTGACTGACCCTGGTGCCCTTGTTTTCTCCTAGGGCTGCACTTGGGGTGTGGCGTACCAGGTGCAAGGTGAGCAGGTGAGCGAAGCCCTCAAGTACCTGAATGTGCGGGAGGCAGTGCTCGGTGGCTATGATACCAAGGAGGTCACCTTCTACCCCCAAGAGGACCCTGACCAACCACTCAAGGCATTGGCCTATGTGGCCACCCCACAGAACCCTGGTTACCTGGGCCCTGCACCCGAGGAGGCCATTGCTACACAGATCCTAGCCTGCCGAGGCTTCTCCGGCCACAACCTGGAGTACTTGCTACGCCTGGCAGACTTCATGCAGCTCTGTGGGCCCCAGGCACAGGACGAGCACCTGGCAGCCATTGTGGATGCTGTAGGCACCATGTTGCCCTGCTTCTGCCCCACCGAGCAGGCTTTGGCACTGGTCTGAGGGGCTGAGCCCCTGCAGGGAGTGCCTACATGAACACAGGGGCCAGGTCCCCACTCCAGTGCACAGACATACTTGATACAGCTGGAGCCCACTGAGAGGACTCGGTGGCTGGCTGGGGGCCTTTCTTAAGCCCCTCCCTGTCTGCCAGCCCCCAGCTCTCCTGCCTGACACTCACTGACTTACTACTTGAAACTTTATTTATTGCACCATGTTGGTGTGGTGGGCAGGGTAGGGGGCCTGCCCTGGACACAGGGGCCCTGCTGAGCGGTGCCCCACCCCAGGCACCTGATGCCTGACCAGATTCCCCCCAGTGCTGCTGCTAACCCCATGGTACCCAGGCCCCCACCTCCCTAGGGAGCCTCCAAGAGCCTTGACACTCCTCTGCCCTCTACCCCAGACCAACCATTTCCTAGTCCCAGAAATACCACCTGCTAAAAGCCCCAGCCTGCTGGTGAGGGATAGGAGGGAGTGAAGAGAGGGGGCCCTACAAGAACTGAGGTCCCTGCCAGCCCTGCTCATCCCCCAGGTCCCCAGGGCACAGCTGGATCTGGAGCCCAGACACAGCTGAGTCTGGACATGGGCCTGTCACCTATTTGGCCTTGTTTTCCTGTCCCTCTGTATGTCTGTCTGGGTCACTCCTGTCTGTCAGTCTGGGAAGCTCATCACTACAGGCCTTGGTACTTCTTAGTCTGTCCCATACTATTATCCATAAACTGATCTCATTATCTGTGCTGTGCTGGAATGTGATTCTTTTTTCAGATAAGCGGTTGGGGTAGGTGAGGTGGTAAAGCCCTGAGAGACTCATAGGAGGGGAAAGGGTGGGTCCCTGTTCATCTCCATCCCTCTCTGCCAGGGAGGGGGCAGCGGAGCAGGCAGGACTACCAGGTTACATCACTCTCATAATATGCAGAATTCATCCCGGGAAGCTCTACTTGGCAGCCCTATGAGCAGTTCTGGCCACCGACCTGGTCCCCTGCATCTCCCAGCTGCCCTGAAGAGGCTAGCAGGGTCGGAGTTCAGACCAAGTCTCCTCCAGTTGCAGGGTCAGTTGCTGCCTCTTCCTGACAGTGAGGCTGGACTTCTGGCTTCTTGCTAAAGGAGCCACGTGGGTTAAAGGAGTTTAAAGGGTAAAGTGATGACAACTTGTGAGACACTGCTGAAAGTGCAGGCCTGGAGGACCTGATGGCCCTTTGACTTCTGAGATCCAGGTGCTCATTCTTGTCTCCTGAGACTGTGATGTGCGCTGTGCCTTCTCTCTTACTGTGACCTGCCAGGATCTGTGATGGGATGAGTTGCTGGCTGCCCTCTAGGCTGCTGCTTGTTCACCATTGGCCTGCCCCTGGCTATTCTTTCCTCACCCTGACCCCCAGGTGCAAAGCCTACCTCCCAAGATCTCAGCCTAGCCCTGTGCTCCTCAACTGGGAATGGCTGCTCAGTGGGTTCAGCCTTTACTCCTGGACCTGCTGAATGGGTGTGGGGCCCAGGTGAGATTTTAGCAGCAGAAGAGCCTGGCTCCATCCCAGCCTTTCACTGGCCCAGTGACCTCCAGAAAAGTATTCAGCCTCTGAGACTCAGTTTACACTGGGATGCTGGGTGGTATGTATGTGTTGCTGCCACTCTTGTGGCTGGTGTCCTGGTTTGGTCTGGGTGTCCCCAGCAGGGTCAGCTCCAGCCAAGTAGGGCAGCCATTGTCCCTGGGAGGTTGCCCATGCGTTGACAGCCTCGTGTCTTGGCAATTGATGGGAAAAGTGTGGAGTCCAGCCAGGTTCTTCTGGGAGCTAGGTCACAAGAGGAGGCAGCTGGTGGCAGGGGGCCCTGGGCAGCCACCTCCTGGCCTCTTGTGCCAGGGCATGGCCAGACAGCCAGTCTGGGTGCTCAGAGCAGAGCCCTGCTCTATTCTGAGTTGGGGTGGGGAAGGCTGCTTTCCAGCAGCACATGGGCTCACATTCTTCAAGCCATTCATTCAGCATGTATTTACTAAACTGCTGTTATATGCCAGGCACTGATCTAGGCTTTGGAGATAGAGCAGGGAAGAAATCTTCCTCCTCAAGGAATTCTGAATGGTGACCATTTGGCATGAACTGTGTCACAATGGAAGGAGAATAGGGCATTCAATGTAGAAAGGGCTCTTACCCTCGAAGGGTTGTGGGGAGGTCAGGGAAGGCTTTCTGAGGGAGGGAATTATGGCGCCAACCTTTGGCTTGAGACAGGATCTCTGTGAACAGAAGGAACATCTTGTACTAGAGGGGGAGGCAAGGTCAGACCAGCTGGACCAGAGTGACATGGGGAAGGGGAGATGAGGCTGGACAGGTGGTAGGACCACATCCCGCTGGCTGGTCTGGTGTGCTGTGCGGTGGAGGTGGCATTTCTCCTGGGTTGGTGGGAGCCCCCTGTGGATTCTGAGCAGGGAAGAGACTGGTTAAAAAGGAACACTGACTGCTGTGTCAGATTGGAGGAGGAAGGTCAAAGATCGGCCGGAGGAGGTGAAGATGGCCTGAGCTGAGGTGTGTGGTGGGAATGGACAGGAACGTGGATTCGAGAGCAATTTAGGGGGTGAGGTTTGCAGGACTGGGCGAGACTGGTTGATGAGGAGAGTGAGGGAGAGGGTAGAGGGCCAGGGTTCCTGGTGTGCTTGGACAGTTGGAAAGAGATCTGCCCTGCATGAGTGTTCGCATTGGGCGTGACTGTGGGGCAGCTGGATGTGTGTGTCTGGGACTCAGGAGAGTAATATGGGTTGGAGTCAGAGATTTGGTGCTTGAAGCCCTGGGAGTGGAGAGAAAAGAGAACGTGGCCCAATCAACCCCGAGGACCCCAGCCCTAGTGGACCGAATGAAGCAAGAGTTGGGAACAAGCAGCTAGAGAGGTAGGAGGAGAACCAGAAGAGCATGGTGTTCTGAGAGCCAGGGTCTCACTGCTGAGATGCCAATGAAAATAAGGACAGAGGAGTGTCCACTGGGTGACATGGCAAGGAGTCCTCAGTGGGAGTGATTTCAGGATCAGTGGCGGGAAGCCACAAGGTAGGGCTGCTTTCAAGAAATATGTCTCAGATAGATAACAGGGTCCTACTGTATAGCACAGGGAATGATATTCAATACCTTTGTAATAGCTTATAATGAAAAAGAATATGAAAAGGAAATATATATATATATATGTATAACTGAACCACTATGCTGTACACAAGAAACTAACACAACATTGTAAACCAACTATATTTCAATTAAAAAAAAAAGGCAAAAAGAAAAAAAACCAAAGAAATTTGGCTGCTAAGAGGAGAGGGAAGCAGAGGGTTAACTGAGGATATAGGAAGAGTGTAGGGGTTTCAGGACTGCAAGAGCTTTTATTTATGTGGCATATAGCAATTGACAACACAGTATATTAGGAATTAAAGTGGAGAAGTTTAAAACATTTAATAATTAAAATTTAAAAATAAATGCATTATATGTTAACATTTTGGGGGGGCTGGGAAAGGAGGTAATTAACTTTATTTATTTATTTTGATGGCAGTGCTGGAGATTTGAACCCAAGACCTTGTGCTTGCTAAGCACCTGCTCTACCACTGAGCTATACCCTCCTTCCCCTATGTTAACATATTTTAAAAGAAAAATGATTTTGTTTTCCAAAACAAATTTAGTGAACGGAGCAGCATTTTATATTTTTAATGTCTGACTTTAATGGAAGCAACTGGACACTCATATTCTGCACTCACTCTGTTGCAAATTCACATATATAGTTCTGGAAAATTCCATTGTACACTTGTGAGGAAATGAGAGTGAAAAGGCAAATAACCTCTTAGTATTATTATGAAAATAGTTTTGACCTCACAGACCTCCTGAGAGGGTTTTGAGGCCTCCCAGTAGTCCCTGGGCCATTTTTGAAGACTTCTGATGTAGGAGCATTGGGGAAAAAAAAAGATTTCTTTTCTTTTTTAGTTGGAGGGATTTAAGCAGGGTGATGTGTGGATGCCCAAATTCAGGCTGCAGCTTTAAGGAATTTCAGAGTTAGCAGGGATCTCAGAAATCCTCCTCCTGTCCATCCCTCAAGGGCATCCTTCTGGAGAACCCGGAATAAGTAGGAAGGAACAGCCAATTCACTTGCGGTTTATTAAGTCTACAACAGGCTGAGGGGCCCTGGACCTCCAGCTGTGGGAGACAGGCTGACAGTCTCTCCCTCACGACTAGTCTGGGCCAGGGGCAACTCCAGGAACTCAGGGGACGGATGGGGCAGAGGTGGTCAGGCCTGGGAGGACTTTAATGAAGCCACAGGAATCCAGCAGGTGGAGGAGGCACTCCAGGTGTGTGGGGATGGCGTCAGTAAAGGAGGGAGGTACACAGCGCTTGGCAAGTGGCTGTGTGGAGGAAGCCTTGGGGTGTTGGGGACGAAGCTGAAAGCTACTTTGGAGCCCGTTCTTGGAGGAAATGTTAGACTTTATCTCGTAGGGAAGTTTGAGTTCTGTGGTGATGTTTTTGTTTTTTCATGTGTTTTGCCTCCCACAGAAAGGTCTTTGTTTTTGTTCTTTTTGTTTTGTCTGCTTGTTGAGCAGACAAGTGTTGTGTTCAGGTCTAGTTTTAAGGAGGCTTGTGCTTACGGCAGGGGAAACATAGTAGGAAGGCCGCAAGATGGGGGCAGGTGCTGGGGAGGGCTGAACTAAAAACAGGAGCAGGGAACGTGAGGAAACTTCCTGGCAGCTGGTTGAAAACAGGGACAAGCAGGAGGGAGGAGACTGGGGATCCCTGGGTTTTGCTGAAAGAGGGCATGGACACTACAGGGGACTTATGCGAACACCACTCTGGCTGCCCTGCACTCTTCTAGGGCTGACAGGGTCTTAGGGGTTCTCCAGGTTGCCCCCCACTAGCCCCACGAAGGACCACTGTAGTTCCCCTGAGGACCATGATGGCAGAGAAGCAGAGGCGGTGGGGAGATGAACCTCGAATGGGGGAGACCCCATCTTTCCCCAGGCCTGGCTCTGAGAAGGGTCAGGGTGCTCCAGGACCAGGTTAGGGGAGGCAGCCTTCACAGGCAAAGTGTCCCTGAGGGCCAGGGTCGGAGCTAGGCTGACCACACACCCCAGTGTGCCCAGGACAGGCCTGGTTTACTCCTGTTGTCCTGAGGTAATTATTAATTTCACTCTCAAAAGCGTCCAAGTTCGGACAGTAAATCACATGGTGACTGTGGAAACCGGGACGGGGCAGGACTGCTTTATTAGGTAGCTGTCAGAGGCGGCTGACGAAGCCCCTGACCACCCCTGTCCTCCGCCCTCCTCACCCCGTCCCTGGAGCCTCGTCCCCAGCCTGGGCCACTCTCCTCTGCCCGTCCCTGTGCCCCTTGAAGAGTCTCGCCAGGCCTGCCCTTCCCGGTTCAGGCCCTCCCCGGGCATTTCCTTGGGCGTGAGGGGGAGCAGACACACCCCGAAAGCTCAGTCACAGCGCCGCTCTCCGTCACCGCCCGGCCTCTCCAGGAAGGAGCACCGCGGACACCCGTGCCGGCCCCTCCCGCGTCGTCCGAGGACCCCGCCCTGGGCGCGCCCCTCGGGCTCGGCTCCTCCCCTTGCCCCGCCCCCTGGAAGGTAGAGCCCGGGGTGAGCGCGCCCCTCTCATCCCATGTTAGCCGTGGGCACAGCCTCCTTCCTCAGACCTTCACAGATTCTGCTGTCTTGCCGACCTAAGGGCTCCCTGTCCCGTCCAACCACCCTCGTCCTAAGACTTGTTCTGTTTCCCTAGACGATTGTCA